TGTGTGTGTGTGTGTGTGTGTGTGTGTGTGTGTGTGTGTGTGTGTGTGTGTGTGTGTGTGTGTGTTTTCGTGTTCAACAAAGAGACCAAAAAATAACTGGATAAATAACTTAAAATGTTATTTTAGAGTTACATTTTATGCCAACATGGGTGTGTGTTATATGTAACACAATGCAGCACTTTATATTCATGCCATAACGTATTGTTTAATTTTTACATTTTATTTACATAAATATGGACATTTGTCAGGAAGTTACATAACTCCAAAACATGCTGAATATATACAGTGAAGAAAACTAGATGTAAAATACTTTGATTTTCCCGCATCACATAATCACATTTATAATCACTGTCTATTTTGAGTCTTAACCTCAGATTCCTTGTAACGTCTCAGTCTGGGCTGCAGCTCCGTGACGACGATGCCGCCTGGAGGAGCCTGGTGCTCGCGTCTCCATGGAAGCACTCAGTTAGTTTGCGACATGTATTCGCCATTTTGCAGCTTCGGTGTGTGAAGTAACGGGGTGGGAGGGGGGCTCTTCTCGAGGTGAATACCTCTGTAGCTTCCAAACATTCAACACTCCAGACGTCAGCTAAAACAGCCAGGGAAATGTCTGCACTTAGAGAACTGTAGCGTCCGCAGTATGTCATGGAAATTTGGACGACGAAATATCACATAGGGTCGCCCAGCGTTGCCGAAGAGGACCGGGAGAAAATGCAAGGTCTGTTTCCTTGCTGTTTTTCTAACTTTGCTAGCCCAGCCACACAGAGCATACAACGGCGGAAAAAAAATAGCGGAGCAGCGAGTTAGCTTAGCACCATTTCAGTGGTGTTGTAGTAAGCTAAGATTCTCTGTAGCTTCGCTAATTAGGCTGCTTAGCGGTAACGTGTGATCAACGTTTAATTGTAAGTCAATTGAAGGCATTACTTTGTAGCAAATAACAGGCTAAAGCGCCAATCGACACACTTCCAAAGCCTAACTAGTTATTTAAAAAAGCAGAAATAATGTAACATACAAACGTAAAGGTTATCGTAACCATTTTTGTGGTAACTACGTTTCCAAGAGCCACAAGTGGTTGTGTTCCTTCGCCCTTATCTACCGTATCATGGTGATCGATCTGGAGCACTAGGAGACTCTCGCTAAAAACATACACCGTTATGTGGCTCTGCCTTGCTAAATATTTTAATGCGGTGTTACAGGAACCGCTAAGCCCTTTCTTGACTGTTAATTCTCTATATTCTCTATATTTTGCATTCACAGCTTGACAAACGGGACTGTGGTTTTTCCATCATCAACCACTCAGGATGAAAGCACCAAGTAAAGAGGAGGAGCATTACTGTCCTTGCAGGATTGTGTTTGCTTCCTTGGATTCTAAAATTTGACCAAATCCACCAAAAGAGTACCAATAATGATACCTGGATTGATCACCCAGGAGCTACAGGAGCAGCTTCTGGATGTGAAGAATTACCAGAATCGTACAAATGGGGTGGAGGAGCTCAAACACATCCTCTCAGAAGTGGACATTAAGTCAGTCCCTTCTGCTGGCATTGAGGCGTTTATAAATTTTCTCCCGCGACTTCTCGACGATAGTAATTTTAAGGTGTTTTCTGGCACCTTGCAAGTTTTAAACTTGTTAATTCGGAAGCTAGATACAGCTGTAGACAAATATTTCAAACATATAGTCTTAGTCGCCCTAAAGGCTTTAGGGGATACTCGCACTGTCACCAGGAATGAATACCTGAATGTGTTTCGACAGCTGATGAAAACTATTCCACCCCAGCAAGTATTGGATCTTGTAATTGGCCACTTGAAACACAAGAATTCCAGGGTTCGGGAAGATGTCCTTAACATCATTATGGCAGCTATGCTCACCCATCCTAGGAAAGATTTCAGCATCCCCAAGCTTTGCTTTGAGGTTGCACCATACCTGGCAGACAGCAAAAGGAGGGTCCGACATGCCGCCCTCGAGCTGTTTGCTGTTTTTGACCATTGCCTTGATGCACGGAGAAAGCCGTCTCTCATGGAAGCTGTTGACATGGTTGAACTGAATGAGGATGCAGAAGGTCTGATGGCAGCTGTACAGGCAAGACGAGCAAGGCACATACTTCCAAAACTCTCCTCGGAAGGTATAGTGGAGTACGGCTTGGTGGTGCTCAAATCGGGCCAGCGGTGCTCACCACAGTATGGTTCTGGAGCTGATTTAGACTGGGTGTTGAATGGAGGGCGGATAAGTAGTGCCAGGAGCCACAGAACAGAACCAGACTGTGACAGATTATATGGCTATGGCAGCTTAGGCTCCCTCACCGATGACCTTCCACTTCAAAGGAGGATTGTCAGCGCGGGCAAAGGAAAGAACAAACTACCCTGGGAGATGTCGAGCTTCTCGTCCACTGAGAATGACCAACAGCAATGCAGTACACCCAACGGAAAGTGCACTGAACAGGTGGAGCTCATCAACACTGGGGATAATCTCAATAATCTTTTATGATAATCATGCCATTTGGATAACTTGCAATGATTTAGCATCTGTTTTTAAATACCTGTTTGCTTTTTCTCTCTTACCATGTCAAAATAAGACATAGTTTAGAGGAATTATCTGGTTTATCGCCAGTTAGTTTTCCCCAATAACAGATGATTTTGACTCATATTAATGAAGAAAATTTCAGTTTTGCATATTAGGGCATGATTGCTCATCTGTTGACTGCCTAAACAAAGGAATATTTTTAATATTTTCCTTTAAACTACTGAGTATCAAAGCAGTTCATGTTGATTTCTCCCCCAATGAGCCAGTAACTGCAGTCACTACATGAAAGGAGTGGTTATTTTTGTCCTTGTTGTCTGTCTTATTTTACTCATGCTTAGCTTGCAGATAACATAAATGTTTGCATTATCAGAAACCAGTATTTTTAGTGAGATGAGTGATAACTAGAGGCAGCCTTCCAAAGATTTATAAGACATTTTAGAGGTGGCTTTTTCTTCAGAGACAGTTTTGAGGACAAAGCCTAAATATTAGGGCTGCCACGATTTGTCGACTAGTCACGATTACGTCGACTATCAAAATCGTCGACGACTGATTTAATAGTCGACGTGTCGTTTGAAGCTTTGTAAGATCGCAAAAGACGCAGGAATAATAGCAGGATTTAAGAGTGTAATAACGGACTGAAACAGAAGATGGCAGCACTGCATGTACAAGGATGCCAGCTGCCGTTAAACCCCGAAGAAGAAGAAGCAGCTGTGTCCCAGAATTCATAGCGCGGCCCAGCTTAGTTTCCAACAATGGCGGTAGCTAGTTAGTTTTAATATTACTCTTATTATTCTTTCTGGGTCACAAAATAAACGTTTAACATATTTTCAGGCGAGAATGTAGCTGTGTAAACCTCAAATATCGGCTCAGTTTATCAGGACACCACATATTTTCAAAAGCGCTCCGACGTTTTCGGAGACGTCTGTTACCCACTAGCTCGATAGCTAGCCGGGGGCTAGGTCACTAGCGCCGTGAGAACACCGGACTCCCGGCAAATTGTTTTCAAACCCACCGCCGTCTTTCGCGACTCAGGTTAAATATATATGAGTCACTTAGATAAATTAAAAATGTTGTTGTTTGGCTTTTTTTTTTTTTTTTAGTATTTTATTTGTTCCTGAGTAAATCGGTTTGGCTGAGATTAAAGTTATAGTTTTTACACAGCTGAATAAACGTCAAGCAGACAGCTGATTATCAGAAGTGTGAGATGCTGGAGAATATACTCCGGTGTCCTGTTATATTTTAGATAGCAAGGAGTTTATTAAACTTTACCGAAACAATCTGCAAATTTCATTAAAATTGAATAAACTATCATCTTGTCTTTATTTTTAGTTAGCACCTTAAAAGCTTAAAGCTGTAAGCTAATGATAGTTATATAAGAGCAGATGCTGCTGGTGCAATAAGCTGTAGTTTTACGTCCAGTGGATGATGATCTGATTAGTCGACTAATCGCATAAATAATCGGTGACTAGTCGACTATCAAAATAATCGTTTGTGGCAGCCCTACTAAATATAGATATAGCTCTCATGATGCAGTATGTGATAAAGAGCAGCAGCAGAAAGGGTTTTGCTTCTGTGTGTCATTTTGTACGTTTTTTTAATACATCCTTGCACACGTCTTCTTTTAGAACTGCCTTACACCCCCCCCCCCTTTTTTTTTTTTTTTTTTTTTTTTTGCTTTTTGAAAAAAATAATGTTTTCCAAGACTTGGAGTATGAAAATAGACTAAGATCGGTGAATTAATTTGGCTCTTAGTTCTTTATAACCAGGGATAAATGGATAGACTCTCACTGGTACTATTCCTGTAGGAAATACAGTAGATGACTCATTTTTCCTGCATAGTGACACCATTGCTGCAAGGATGAGCGCCCAGTTTCAAGTACAAGTCTTGCAACAGTAGCTCTCAACCTGTTTGAAGGAAGGAAAGGAGAACATGTCATTTGTAACCTAACAAACTACAAGAACTTATTAAGCCATTACCAGCTTTATTTTAATAATCCCCTGGCTTTTTCTAAAATTGGTTATCAATTGACTGTGTTTTGTTCTGGGAACTAATATCCAGCTCAGAGCCTGTATTCGAGAAACCTTGCGTTTACAGCAGTGTCTGTTTCCCAGCAACCCCATTACCAGATAGCACAGTTACTGAAGTGACCGTGAAACATAATTGGTAATAACACAGAGTTATGCTTGCAAAACATGGCCTATTGCCTGCTCCACTGTTGATTGCAATCATGCCAAGTGCTCTGCTGTGAGTGCTGATCAGATTATAGGCAGCGGAACTAATTTCAGCCTCACTGTTTTATCTGAGTGGTTGAAATACAAAAAAACACATAAAAAACAAAGCAGTCTTTATTCATCTTTCTAAGGTTGCGTTGTGACCTTAAAACTTAAATGTGAACAGTGGACATCATACACCAAATTAAACTTTAGAGTAGCAGAAAGACCGTAAGCCAGATGTTTCCAGCTGACTAAATATCTCCTGCGTCCCTTTGTTGAGTGAATGACATTACATTGAGGTCCCCGTTATAGTTAGCCTTTGGACAAGGTTCATCATTTTTGTAATTTTTTCCCTCTCCAACCCACCACAGTGTACAGTGGGGCAAAAAAGTATTTAGTCAGCCACCGATTGTGCAAGTTCCCCCACCTAAAATGATGACAGAGGTCAGTAATTTGCACCAGATGTATCAGACCTCTTCATGAATTGTATTGTAACTTCTGTGTGTGTGTGCAAGGGGCCAGAGAAGAGGAGGAAAGGGTGTTGGCTGCTGACTAAGTTCACAACATGATGTGTTTTTCTATGTGGAATATTTATCTTTGCCAAAAGACAAAAAACAAACAAAAAAGGTGCCAGGACCAGTGATTGTATACACTCTCAATTCATATTTCTATTTTGGGATTTAATTTAAAAAAATATTTGGAAGAATGCTGTTTTATTGCAAAGACTTGTGAGCTTAACAGCAAGTTTTTTTTCTTATTAAAATGAAATATACATAAGTCACAATTCAAAAACACGAGAAATACAGCCCAGAACCCTGACAATTTTACACTGATTAGTTTTTTTAAAGTACAAGATAATATCAGAAAAACTTAAGATTATAGCTTTTTAAAGCTACATTATATAATAATCTATTTGTTATTATGTTATTAATAATCTGTGTAGTCTAGTTTATACCAGTGCCTCGCAATTTATCAGTTCATGATAGATTTGCATAACAATAGCGTCGACTCACCAGCAGTTATAACTGACATGTTATGGGGCATAAAATACTCCATATTTAGAATAAAGAAACGTCTATACATTTTCATTTTAGTTTAGTTTAAATTTTTTTGAATACAAAAAAAAAATGAAATAGTAAACATTGTTTTACACAGTGATAAATAAATACCAAGAATAGAAAGTATACCTGTAATATTTGTGTGTGTGTGTGTTGTGTGTGTTGTGTGTGTGTGTGTGTCTTGTGTGTTGGTGTGTTTCGTCAAGCAAAGACGACGCAAAAAATAACTGGATAAAAAGTTGAAATGTTATTTTAGAGTTACATTTTATGCCAACATGGGTGTGTGTTATATGTAACACAATGCAGCACTTTATATTCATGCCATAACGTATTGTTTAATTTTTACATTTTATTTACATAAATATGGACATTTGTCAGGAAGTTACATAACTCCAAAACATGCTGAATATATACAGTGAAGAAAACTAGATGTAAAATACTTTGATTTTCCCGCATCACATAATCACATTTATAATCACTGTCTATTTTGAGTCTTAACCTCAGATTCCTTGTAACGTCTCAGTCTGGGCTGCAGCTCCGTGACGACGATGCCGCCTGGAGGAGCCTGGTGCTCGCGTCTCCATGGAAGCACTCAGTTAGTTTGCGACATGTATTCGCCATTTTGCAGCTTCGGTGTGTGAAGTAACGGGGTGGGAGGGGGGCTCTTCTCGAGGTGAATACCTCTGTAGCTTCCAAACATTCAACACTCCAGACGTCAGCTAAAACAGCCAGGGAAATGTCTGCACTTAGAGAACTGTAGCGTCCGCAGTATGTCATGGAAATTTGGACGACGAAATATCACATAGGGTCGCCCAGCGTTGCCGAAGAGGACCGGGAGAAAATGCAAGGTCTGTTTCCTTGCTGTTTTTCTAACTTTGCTAGCCCAGCCACACAGAGCATACAACGGCGGAAAAAAAATAGCGGAGCAGCGAGTTAGCTTAGCACCATTTCAGTGGTGTTGTAGTAAGCTAAGATTCTCTGTAGCTTCGCTAATTAGGCTGCTTAGCGGTAACGTGTGATCAACGTTTAATTGTAAGTCAATTGAAGGCATTACTTTGTAGCAAATAACAGGCTAAAGCGCCAATCGACACACTTCCAAAGCCTAACTAGTTATTTAAAAAAGCAGAAATAATGTAACATACAAACGTAAAGGTTATCGTAACCATTTTTGTGGTAACTACGTTTCCAAGAGCCACAAGTGGTTGTGTTCCTTCGCCCTTATCTACCGTATCATGGTGATCGATCTGGAGCACTAGGAGACTCTCGCTAAAAACATACACCGTTATGTGGCTCTGCCTTGCTAAATATTTTAATGCGGTGTTACAGGAACCGCTAAGCCCTTTCTTGACTGTTAATTCTCTATATTCTCTATATTTTGCATTCACAGCTTGACAAACGGGACTGTGGTTTTTCCATCATCAACCACTCAGGATGAAAGCACCAAGTAAAGAGGAGGAGCATTACTGTCCTTGCAGGATTGTGTTTGCTTCCTTGGATTCTAAAATTTGACCAAATCCACCAAAAGAGTACCAATAATGATACCTGGATTGATCACCCAGGAGCTACAGGAGCAGCTTCTGGATGTGAAGAATTACCAGAATCGTACAAATGGGGTGGAGGAGCTCAAACACATCCTCTCAGAAGTGGACATTAAGTCAGTCCCTTCTGCTGGCATTGAGGCGTTTATAAATTTTCTCCCGCGACTTCTCGACGATAGTAATTTTAAGGTGTTTTCTGGCACCTTGCAAGTTTTAAACTTGTTAATTCGGAAGCTAGATACAGCTG